TTCATGAATTAAACTTCCACAAGAGCTACATTTTTTACAAAAAATGATTTAATCCTTGATTTTTATTCGCAAGATACTAATACAAAATTACAAAAATTAATCCATGAAATTACTCTCATACAATACCTAGACTTTCTAGGATTTATTGAAGATGTATCACAATTGTCATAAATATTTACACTAAATGTAAGAGATTATTAATAAATTTCCCTGAATTTTTGAAGAATTTTAGGTGATGCCTAAGACTCTCTGGAAGATAAATCTTGATTTTTACGGCGTTTCAGACAAATTTACAGTTGATTTCCATACGTTTCCAGAATATTTAAAGAGTTTCTGTGACGCCTAAGGTCTCAATTCACCTTTTAGGTTGTTGTGTGAATTTTCAAATATGATTGAGAATTCCTATGGGGTGTAGATGACGCTTTGGGATACATTTGGAGATCGTACTGGATTAATATGGATTTTTAGACTATTTCCATGAAATTGCTACAAGATTTCAGAAAATATTGTAAGAATTTTAGGTTTCCAAATGTTGTCTAAGACTTTCTGGAAGAAAAATTTTGATTTATAAGGTGATTCAAAGCATTTCCACCAATATACACTTGATTTCCATACATTTCCTGAATATTTTCAAAGATTATCCATGATGTCTAAGGGTTTATTTGAAATGTTTCCGTATTTATTATTATTTCCAAAAATTTTCTTTCAATCTTCAAGGATTTCAACCATTTCCAATTTGATTGAAAGATTTGAAAGAATTTCTGCGATTCCTAAGGTCTCAATTCACCTTAGGTTGTTGTGTGAATTTTCAAATATGATTGAGAATTTCTATGGGGTTTCCATGAAGATCTGGGATATATTTGGATATGGTACTGGATTAATATTGATTTTTGGACTATTTCCATGAGATGACTACAAGATTTCAGAAAATATTATAAGGATTTTAGGTTTCCAAATCTTGTCTAAGACTTTCTAGAAGAAAGAGTTTGATTTTTATGCTGTTTCACAGCAGTTCCAATAAATTTACAATTGATTTCCATACATTTTCTGAATATTTTCTAAGATTATCCATGATGTCTCAAGGTTTTTTTGAAATATTTTGTTATTATTTCCAAACATTTTCTTTCAATCTTCAAGGAATTCAAGGATTTCCAATTTCAAAAAATGTCTGCGTTTCCTACGGTTTCAATTCACCTTAGGTCGTGGCGTGAATCTTCAAATATGATTAGGAAATTCTATAGGGTGTCGTGAAAACCTTAATTTTCAATTATTATCTGCATTATTTAATATTAATCAAGAAAGCTTCAACAAATCTTCAATTTCATTGAAACCAAGAATAGTGATCTCTAAAAATGTGAATATATAAATAAGAAGAAACAAAATGGCATAAGATTGGATTATTTGGAAACCTAACCAAACCTGCTGTTCGCCTATCCAGTAATTACATTGGAGTAAGTAATTACTGGTCAGAACTAACACTAGACCAAGAAGTTGAAGCGTTCTAAACTTTCTAATTCTAGGTCTAGTGTTAATTCTAGTTTTAGTTCAATAAAAATATACAACAACCTAACGTTACCTAGTGCCACTTAGTGTTACTTTGCACTGTCACTAGAATTGACACTAGACCTGGAACTAGAAACATTCGGGTATAGTCGTTCGTCTCTTAAAACGACTTTAGTTCTAGTAACAGTGCTAGATAGCGAAATGTTTCTAGTTCTATGTAAGTCTAATGTTAGTTCTAGTATGAGTTCGATAAAAATATACAACCTGGCGCTGAATAATAATTAAAACTAGAACTAACACTAGCACTAGAACTAACACTAGACCTGTCTAGTGTTTTTTTTAAAGTGAATTGAAAAGAACTAAGTCTAGGTGATATAAATGTCACATATCAAAAGACCACTTGAGGCAACACACCAATAAAGCAAAGAGCAATTTTATAAATGCATAGAAAGAATGCTGAAACAGGTCTATGTTAACACGATTTGCGGATTTTGCCATTTTGTATAAAGAAGAGTTTCGACAGGCATTTTTTCTTGGAGTAGGTGTTATAAATAGAAAGTCAAAGCGTAGTAATCTAAGAGGAACATGAACTATAGAACCGACAAGGAGAATCATATTTGTTGTTCAAAAGTTTAATATAACATATCCCCACAGAAGCGACGCTGGCTTATGGTTAAGATACGAAAAGAAGTGCAGATAGATTCGTAATCAATGTATTGAACAGAAGAAACTTTACAACAAAAGTACTTGAGGAATTTAGATTGAATATAATCTAGATTTATAGGAATGATACTGATACTGTCAAATATGTTATTAATATAAATATTAACGTAAAGAGCTTAGATGACTATCCTGGGGAAGACTAGAAGGAACCGACACAGGATTAGAAAAGAAACCATTAACCGAAACAATTTGGCATTTCTCCTTCAGATAGAAAGCAAGCCATTGTATGTAAAAGTTTTAACTGAACACCAAACTTCATTAGTGTAAACAGAAGTAAGTTGTGATCCACCCGGTCGAAAGCTTTACTATTATCCGTATAAACTGTATCAACTTGAGAAGAATCATCTACAGAAGATAAGATATCCTGTCCTGGGCATATTCAAGCAAATTAGAGCGACCAGCAAAAAAACATGTTGTCTACGATTGATTTTAGACTTAAGAGCAAAGAATAGACTTGCTTCAACCACTTTTTCAAACACTTTCCCAAATTCTGGCAAAATAGATATGGGGCGATAATTAGATATAACACCACGATTCCCAGATTAAAAAATGGGAAGAATAACAGCCCGCCTCTACAATGAAGGAAAGACACCTATTATCAATGAGGCATTAAATAAAATGGTTAAAGGAAGGAACAGAGAGTGTGAACATTCTTTGATTAAAATTGATGGAATACCATCAGTACCAATACTGTCGATAACCCTGATACCTATCAGGGCATACACAATCTCAATCCTATCAAATTGCATCTGACTTAAAGGAAGGAGCACCACACAACCTACACTCTGCTGGATTGGAGAAGAATCAACAAAAACCGAAGAAAAGAAATCTGCGAACAATAAGCATACCCCGATACCGTGACCGACAACAGTTCCACTCCATGATATCGTAGAAGGAATGACATTCGTACGCTAATTAGACTTAGTAAAAGCCCAAAACACCATAGAGTCCGATTGGACATAGCTTTCAGCTCTTCTAACATATTCCATGTAATTATGATGGATTAGATACTTTGCACGATGCTTTAGAATGGAAAAAGTGAGGTAGTCAAGACAGTTACCAAAATGTTTCCATTTACATTGCGCCTTCCTTTTCTCTCAAATTACTTTAATGGTATTATGTGAAAACCGAGTAAGAAAACGTTGGTCGCTTTGAGTTTTCAAGCGACAAATTCACGCATTAGCGTGGTTATAAACAATTTGAACAGCGTTATTGATATCACGATTACCAAGTTCTGATTCCCAGTTAATTATTGCGTTAAACTACTCAACTCTAAAATACTCACTAAACCCGAATGTTTCTAGTTCTAGATCTAGTGTTATTTCTAGTTTTAGTTCGATACAAATATACAATATTAGATCTAGAATTAGAGACATTCGGGTTTAACCGTGCGTCACTCAAGACGGCACAATTTAGGAACTGATTAGCTAACTATGTCTGTATGAGATGAATCAGTTACAATCTCGCGTTTTACTACATAAAACATTTCGTCAAAACTACGAAGCTGATCATCTACTCTGATCAGTGTTGTGGCCAAAATAGAAATGACTTTATATTAAACTTTCTATATTGTGAGAATACATTGTGTCGCATCGTGATTAAGTGATAAGTGAGATTAGCCACAAATTTTTAGTCAATAGTAGAACGGAAGAAAAAAGATTAATTGTTCTTTCAGATTTTGTACCTCAATTTATCATGATTTTAATATGTCGTAGATGTAGACACCAAAAATTTTTCCAGCAATTACATACTTCTTTCATTAAGTCTTTTAAATTGAAATTGTCTCAAAACCTGTTGCTAATGTACAACTATTCGATACAGTTTCAGGATATTCTAAAGAATAAAATCACCGTTTCAACAACATCAATAACTTTGCCGACTTTAAATGTTAATAAATTGATTTGCAAATTGAGGAATGTAAAAAATTACAAAAAAAAGAACGTTTTTTTAATGAATTATAAACTACTCGCTGATTGAAACATCACGCTGCGCTGTGGGCTATCAAAGTAAAATAATCGAGGGATTATCATTGTTTGCAGATGTCAGTGAGGATCGACAAGGGCTCGGTCCCAACTGACGACCCCTCCGATGAGGGCCCTACCACTGGCACCTACCACCGCCATCGCAGCACATGTGCACATACTGAGACGCGTTTCCACCGTGCGTTGCCCATTTCGCGGTCGACATACGGCCAAGTTGAAGAGAGCGCGACATGTGGCATCGTGTCCGATGACACTTTGACAGGTTTATCGCGGATAGATATCGCATTACTGATATCTATCAGAAGAGGAACAATGAAAAAAAGAAATAGAACCGCTAAAATTATCAGAAAGTTTTAAAAATTATACATCTAATTTAAAATTTTTTTTTCTTTTTCATATTTAATGTTTTTTTTTTATTAATTTATTTCATTTTTTAGAAATTTACGAAAAAAATGTATATACGGAGGGATGAATATGAAAAAAGTCCAACCCTGTATTACTACTACAGACAGCTCACATGAATAATTGATTCGATCAGGAAGGGCGTCGCGCTCGACCCCCTAATAACAGGGATGCTTTACTGTTAGGGTCGGCGGCTCTTATTTAATTATTAATTCATTGGAAATAATAATATTTATCATTATTAATTGTGACGGCCCCGGCGACGGGGTGGACGCCGCTGATTTTCGCGACTAATCAGAAGAAATCGATCAATGTCAATTTATCACGCGAAATTAGACGATTTTGTCAGTATCTATATCGCGGAAGTAAAGGGTTTGGAAGATTACTCACCTAACGACGTCTTGTATTCGATTTCCATTAGATTCTTTTGGAACGTTTCGCAATACTGTTGCTAGAAGTTGCATTAAAGCTGTGCATAATGGATCTGATGGTGGGATATCTTGATTTTCCTCAATTCCCTAGAAAAAAAGAAGTTGATTTAGAATTTGGTTTTTTGATTGCAGTTCTCAAGTTGAAATATTTCTTATTTAGTTTTAACTCTTAAAACATACCTCAAATAAGAAAACCATAAATACTCGTTACATAAATAACGATTTAAATAGATTAATACAGTAAAACCTCGATATAACGGTATATTAATATATCAGTATATTTAAATATAAATGTTAGCGCTCATAGATAGAGTCCAACTCGGGTTATTCCCTAAGTTGCTCTATTTCATGCTCATAAATAAACTCGGGTTGTTTGCGTGCTTCACATATTTCTGACCTAACCTCATTTAGTTTTCACTGTGTTTGGTAAGTGAGCCTGCTGAAATTAGAGAATAGTGACAATAACCTGTATATGTAAAAGTTTCTAACAAAAATTTTCGAAGAATATTTGATTGTTTTAGTAATATGGTTGAATACCAAAAAGAAGAGGCAACGCTACAGCGTCTTTTGGATAAACTCTTATCAGACGAAGAGAATGAACAGTTTATAGGCTCATCTGAAGACGAACAGTATGTGCTGAGTGAAGTTGGGAGTTCATCATCTTCAGATAATGTAAAACTAATCTAGAGAAAGAAGAAAACTCAGCAGGTCACAAGAGGTGTTTCTCCTGCTATTCCTTCAACTTCGTCAAGTTCTACAAAGATACACATCGAAGATTCTACAGATGTTGTAAATCATTCTTGAATAGATCAAATGTAGTTCTTCTGCTATGGTTTAACGTGATTGGAAGGTATTTGAAGGAATTACCTTCCTTTGAATTATTAGGTATTTGACAGTATTGTTTGTGGTGTTTTTGTAGGAATGTAAGTATGTATTAAAACGAACGTACTTATTATTTTCGTCTTAATCTTTATTGTTGAGAATCAATTTCTCGAATGCCCCGTTTTACATCTCTTTACAATACCTCTGTGTCCTCGCACATGCGCAATACATATAATTCGAAATAAAAATATATAACATTGTTGAACAATCTCGGATGATTTTTAAATTTGTTCATGGATGATCTTATGGAACTCATGGTTAACGAAACTAATCATAATGCTTCTCAGAAAATCGCTGAAAATCGTCGCCCTTCTAAGATAAACAAATGGAATGGCTCTAACCATCAGGAAATAAAATTGTTGCAGCTTCGGATGAGTTTATTTCGTTTGTTTCATATATCCAGTTATTAATAAAAAGAAAACAATATATTCAAATAAAGTTATTAATGTCATGTCACGAAACCGATCCAGAAAATGCAGATGTTTCTGATAGACTGTATAAACTTAGGCCAGTTATTGAATCATTGACAACTAATTTCAAAGGCTATTGCATTCCTAACGAACAGATATGCATCGATGAAAGTTTAGTACCATTTCGTGGCCGACTAATCGTAAAAAACAAAAGGCATAAATTCGGATTCAAACTGTGCACGGAAGATGGCTACACATTTGACTTTCCCATTTACTGTGAGAGAAAAAAGAAAATTCCATCGAAAATGTCTCCACTGATGTTGTCATGAACTTGTGTCACTTCTGGATTGCAGTAGAACCGTCTATGTTGACAATTACTATACGAGTGTGAATCTAGCGCATAAGTTGCTGGAAAGAAACACTCATCAAGTTGGCACTTTCAGAAAGAATCGGAAAAACAACCCCAAAGAAGTCATACAAAAACGTCTAAAAAAAGGTGAAAGTGTTTCTATGGAGACAAATACAGGAATTGCAGTTACGAAGTGGCACAACAAACGCGACGTTATAGCCCGTTCTACAAAGCATATTGGCCGTATGATTACACTCAAGTCTGGACGGGGTTCTAAAGTAGATATGGCTTATCTACTTTAGAACTCCGTCCAGACTTGATGATGTCGTGAAATATAATAAATCCAAAGCTTTTATTGACTTATCCGATCAAATAAAAGCCTATTCGCATAATTTGAAGAAGTGGGTACAGTGGCACAGAAAAACCTAGTTGAACTGCTTCTAGGATCAGCTATTGTAAACGCATTTTTAATGTTCAAAGCTGTAACGGCTAAAAATTTATCAATCACTGACTTTAGGGAGCAAGTTGCAGAAAATAGCAAAATAGCGGCAGATAGAGAAAGAGCTGCCGAATTCAAAAAAAGAAAAACACCTCACTCTAGATAGACATGTTGCCAGTACGAAAAACATGCGTGCAGTGTAATATGCTTTTGTGAAAACCATGACTATGTTCTAAAACAGTGAATTATATCTCTTTTCACTTTCTTACATTGTTCTAAAGTAATGGATTACTTTTCATTTTGTGTCATGAAACTAAAATAAATATTTCAATTTACTTTTGTTGTTTTATTGAAATGCGCGAGAAGAAAACGTTGCAGAAACGTACCTTTGTATTCTGAAACACAATAACTTTTCATTGGGTTAAAACGGATTTTAGTGCACTAGACTATGATTATCAACCTATGTATTGAGATAGCTCTAGCAGATATTCGGGTTTAGTTGTGTGAGGCATACGAGCTTCACATGGCAGTTAACTTGTTAAGAGACGAACGGTTTTAGTTCAAAAAATATATAACCTATCGCTATCTAGCACTGTCACTAGAACTAACACAAGACGTAGAACTAGAAATATTCGGGTTTAGCCGTTTTAAGAGACGAACGACTAAAGCCGAATGTTGCAAGATAACACTAAGGAGCACTAGATAACGCTAGGTTGTTACATATTTTTATTGAACTAAAACTAGAACTAACGTCTTCAGACGTACGGCTAAACCCAAATATTTCTAGTTCTAGGGTTAGTTGTAGTTTTAATTGTTATTCAGCGCTAGATTGTTGTATATTTTTATTGAATTAAGAGTATAATTAATACTAGACCTAGAACTAGAAACGTTCGGGTTTAGCCGTCTTAAGAGACGTACTGCTAAACCCTTATCTAATATCTTGGGCGATATTAATATTAACCTTTTGGCCACTTGATCTTCTGTTGATGTCTTGATCTCTACTTTGGATGCTTTTAATTTATGGCATATTATTGACCAACCGACTCAGATTGTTGATTGCTCTGAGACCCTAATTGACATTATTATTATATCTAAAAAGTTGCCTCTTTCTTATTTGTGATACTGAGGATATTATGGTCTCAGATCATTTGTTAGTCTATGTCAATTGTTAATTCCTACAAGTGCTAAACCTGACGCCAAACTTATTAGCTTCCATGATTTGCTTGCTACTGATATGAATAAATTTGTCAGAGATCTCGATTTAATGAACTCAGAGGCTGTTTATGATTTTGAAGATATTAACGACAAGCTCAACTGTTTTACCGATGTATTGCTAACTTTATTTGATTTTCATCAAACAAATGATGAAATTAAGGAATGATGCTTTTAATAAAGATAATAGAAACTGAAATCAAGGAACTTTTCAGTATTACAAATCGCTTCGCAATTACGTTACAGGTGCCATTCATAAGGAGAAAAAGTCTTTCTTTGAAAAAAAACTTAGTTGTTGCTAATTCTAGAGATATGTGAAGAAATCTTAAAAAGTTTAATGTTTTGAAATCTTCCATTGTTAGCATGCCTCCACATTTGTCAGATCCCGATAATATTAACGCATTTTTCAGTAACTCTATAAAGGATACCTTGGTTTCTTCCGACGTTGATCGTTTGGAGTATTACAATAATAATACTTTATTCCTCCATTTTACCAAAAAAGTGTAGAGTGCGTCAATTCAATACAAATTGAATTCAAACATTAAATTGCAAAACATGTCAATGGTATACATCGGATTTTCCGTGACAATAGCTCTGTCTTCTCCGGAATCTTGGAACTGGCAGGATCCTTGTACCCTCCGAAATGTGATTGTATATCTTGATACTCTGGTACAGAGCCGTCTTTTGAATCTTAGTAAGGTGCGTTTTTGGTGGCACCAGATAGCAGTTCACCTTCGCGCGTGTGTCTCGAGGATGTGATATTTCATATTTTTTGAAAAATTTAAAATAATTCTTATTACCCAATACGGCACATTCCAGAATATAAATTGCATACAAGGTAGGTATTTTATAGTTTTTAAAGTAACTTCTACAGCTATCAGTATTTTTTAGACCAACGATTGCTCTTACACACCTCTTCTGTAGTATGAAGATTCTATCTATACCAACACCACGGCCCCAAAAGACAACTCCATGTCTTAGCAACGAATGAACATATGGATTATAGGCATTTAATGCTGCCTCAATGCCAGTTGATCTGGAAATAATCCGAATGGCATATGAGAAATGACTGATCTTGCCAGCAAGGAAATCAATATGATTAGTCCAAGACAGTGCAGGATCCATTTTCCAACCCAGAAACGAAATCTCTTCAACACTGGCTATCTCAGCATCCCGATACCTCGCCTTGATCTGGTCAGAGCATAACTGATAATTAACAATTTTCAATTTCACAATCAGTGCTACACCTCGCCCCGGTCGTTGTCTCATCCGCAAAAATTATCGTAATGTTGTTCGTTACACGTGGTAAGTCATTCACGTACTGGAGGAGCAATAAAGGACCCAATATGGGACCCTGAGGTACTTCCAGCTTGACTTCGTTCCAAGCTGATCTTATTTCTATTCCCTGTTCATTGTGGGCAACTACACATTGTAACCTCCCTGATAGACAGGATTTCATCGATGACAAGCTAACACCTCTAAAACCAAGTCTCTCCAACTTGGTTAAAAGGATTGAATGATGTACACTATCAAAGGCTTTTGGAAGATCCATGAACAATGCTGTTGTGGCCTATTTTCCATTTAATCCCAAGATAATATTTTCCAAAAGTTAAAACATCGCAAGCCTTCCGAAAACCATTTTGAATCTCATGTAATATATTTGTTTAAATAATTTATAATTCTGTTGTGTACAAGCTTCTCATAAATTTTTGCAAGATTGAATATGAGTGCTATTGGACGATAGTTATCATAGCAGGACTTGTCTCCTTTTTTATAGATTAGGATTATTACTGTC